ACAAATTGGTGGAACGGTTACCGAGATACATATATATGATCATAAGTGGGCGGTGCCACGCCCATTTTCCAAAATGTTATGATAAGCGTATTTCCTGGTAAAGTATTGTTGCAAGCATCAATTTTGAATAAATTAAATTAATATTTACTGATTTATCGAAGATTTCGTATTTCTCCAAATTACCGTTGTATGGGATGTAGGCGTGGTTATTGTCCGATTTTTAAAATTTTCAGCCGTTTGGTATCCTGTATCAAGGCCAATAACTGTGCCAAGTTTGGAAGAAATCGGTGCAGCGGTTGCCAAGATATACACATGTAACCATAATTGGGCGTGGCTACGCCCATTTTTCAAAGATTTATAATATTCTTATTTTTCGTCTAAAAGTTATTGCAAATATCAATTTTGAGTGAATAATCTTCAGTAGTTACTAAAATATCGCAGTTTTCGTATTTCTGAAAATTACCGTTATATGGGAGGTAGGCGTGGTTATTGTCCGATTTTGCCCATTTTCAATACCATCCGTCCTACGCCCGAAAGAAGTACACGTACCAATTTTCGTTAAGATATCTTAATTTTTACTCGAGTTATCGTGTGCACAGACGGACAGACGGACGGACGGACGGACGGACAGACAGTCACCGCTTAATCGATTTCTCTTTTCATCCTGATCATTTATGTATACATTTGTCTATATCTATCTCGATTCGTTTTGCCTGTTACAAACAACCATTATGTGAACAAAGTTATAATACCCTTGTGCACAAGTGCGCTCGGGTATAAAAATTGCCGCTGAACCCAAGTATGAAGTCAGATATTAAGATAGTAGAACAGTTTCGAGATATAGCCAAATTTCGGTAATTTTAAATTATATACAACTTTCAAAACTTTCTACGAAAATACACTTCTCCGTATGAAAGCAAAATACTATTTTGAAAATAGCTGAGAATAGATCAACAAATGTTCCTTTTGACGTTTATTCGCATATTGCGAATGAATAGAAGAAAGAATGAATTTGAATCATTTGCGAACGAATTTTTGTTTTTTTGTGTTCAATATCTCGGAGTTAATGACAGACATTTTTAATTTGTTCGTATTTTTATTTCCTCAAAGTGGTTGCGCTTGTGCTCTATAGCTCGAATGATAAAAATAATTTTTTTATAATCGAGAATTTTAAAAAGCGTTCAATTCGAGCCAAATGTTTGCTGTAAAGAATTATTTGTGAATACAAATAATATATTAAATATTCTCCGCCCCCTGTTGTCAACACATTCGATTTTCGTTGCAATCATTGATTTAATTCGTATCAAGACTGCCTTCTTCTGGCACGCTATAAGAAAATCATCTACATAAATCAGTATCAAACAAAGACTACATTGTATGTCTTGCTTATATAAGCACGGCTCGTTCTTGCATTGAGTGAACCCAGTTTCATATAATAACGTGCTAAATTTTTAATTCTACGCCCTTCCCTCTTCAGTCTGCTTCATGTAGCCTACGTCATTTAATTCGCTGTTAAGGTAAGCCGTACAAACGTTCGTGGTGCAAATAAAGCTTCAACTGAACAGAGAAAGCTAAAATCAAACGTGTCGATTCATAACGACACACTGGTGAATATGTTTCGCTATAATTTAAACCAAAATTTTGCGAACGCCCTTTGGCTACCAAATGTGCCTTATAGCGTTCTATAGCACCAAATTTGTCGTTTTTATGGTGTGTACCCATTTACAGTCGATAACTTGTTGACACTTAGGTAAGTCTTCAAGTGTCCACGTACAATTTTTTACCAGGGACCCATATTCATTGTTCATGACTGTTCGCCAATATGAAGCGTACTCACTATTACTTGCCTCTTTAAAAGAGTGAGGTATTGGTATATCATTGGTATGAACTGCACTTATGATATTGAAAAACTTCTTTGGACGTCTTGGCTTACCTGTTCGCTCTAGTTTCGGCCTGCCAGGTCCAATATTTCCAACTTGCTTTTGTTGGAGCTCTGCTTCTTCGCTCTCGATGTCGCTGCAACTATCTTCCTGCTGTTCATCGTCATCAATATCCGGAATCCGGATTAAGTACTACGATATCATGGTCTCTCGCATATTTCTGTGAACTTTCTGTTGTTGCTTCAAATGTGATCTGGTCTGGTATCTCAGCTACATCGCAAGATTCGTCAAACAAAACATCGCGTTTTCTACAATTTGCCGTTTTTCCTTGTCGTAGAGTCTGTATGCTTTCGATACCAACGAATAGCCTACTAAACGATACTCCTTGCCTTTCGCCAGAAATTTGTTGTGATGTGTCGTACGTGAAGACTCGCCCATAAGGTCGGTGCTCCTCAAGGTAGTGTGCTTGGGACTACGTTGTATGCTATCTATATGTCAGATATTCCTACGAGCGATAAAATTCTAACATCCACTTTCACAGATGATGCTGCCTTAGCAAGTCGCCCCAAATTTTCTAATTGGGCTTCGAAAATATTGGAGGAACATTTACCTACTTCTAGTTGATGAATGTGCAAACATTTAACATTTGCACTGAGGCCCCAAACACGTCTGGCAATCAAATTAAATATGGTCTATATTCCACAAACGGATGAGGTGACACATCTCAGCATACATTTAGACATACGGCTTACATGGCGCAACTATATAATAACTAAGGTACTACAAGTGAAACTAAGGTCAGCTAGCTTAAAATAGCTGCTAAACAAAAACTCGAAAATGAAATTTGATTATAAAGTGCTATGAGCATACAGTCATCAAACCTATTTGGATTTGGTATTAAACTGTTGGGTACGACCCACAGTGTAAGATTTGACCCATCTAGCTGCTTTTAATTCTGTAATTCGAAAACTATTGAAGATAGATTAATGAAATTTTGCACAAGGTACGTTAATAAGATAGGCGAAGCTTTTTACAAAAAAATTGGTAATTTATAGTTACTGTCACGCCACCCTATTATATAACTGCAATTTTTAAAAATGCAAAAACTGAAATATTTAACTAACTACAAAGGCTAAAATGCCCAAAAATTATATTTAGAATTTCCCTATAACAAGGAATTATAAACTGACAGAAATGGACTTAAAAATAAATATATATTTTTTTAATTATGGGCGTAGAAAATATTGGTAAAAAAGTCAAGTTGGGTCAACAAAATTCCGTTATAAGTTCAATATTTCTTGCTCTATTTACAAAAATGGGATACCATTGGAAATGTAATGAATCAGGCTTTCTCTATTCAAAGCAAAAATACAAGAATTTGTCTCGGCCGAGATAAAATGCAAATGAATTACTCGAAGAAAATGAAATTCCCAGTAGGCCAGAAAAAAGAAAATTTCATCAAAACCTGCACTTTCCAGCAGCTAAAATTGTGTTGTTTAAAGTCTAGGAGGAGTGGCAAATAAACTGAGATACAAACTTTATCGAATAGTGGCGGATAACGAGTTTTCGGGTCTAATAAAAATAATAATTTGCTAAAACTAAGTCTAAGTCAACATCGTTTTACTTTAACATGAAATACTCAGTCCTAGTTCACTAAATTCCCAAAAGTGTATATTCATTAAAAACATCATACCTAAAAAAAATAAGACCAAAATGATATTTTAGCAATTGTTGCATAAATCACATAACACCGACAAATTAAACATTGAGATTCAGTTTCAAATATACAAGTTTAAATATTATTGCGCTCAGTAATTTTCCAAATCAAACCCCGTCTCGCCATACACTTTGATTTAAATCTTTTAGTTGTTATTGTTTCGTCTTTATCAGGCATTTCTAAAAACATTCTTGACGTTGTTTTGAAATTTGGCGACATAAAATAATATAATTAATATTTTCTAGAATATGGAAATGATACACTGTGCGACCAATATTGACAAAATATAGAGATACCAGCCAAAAAAATGTAACTTTAGCTTTCAGACGGTCCGGACGTGTTTTCTTTCGCTCTGTGCTTTATGGTTAATATGATATATCGCTCGCAATAATGAGTTTGTGTACTAATTGTGCGGCCAATTGTAGGCTTAAAGATAAAATTCTAAACGCGATTTCGGACTTGGACAGATTAAAAAGCACTTTTATAGCATTAATTGAGTCAGTAAATGATAATACTAACTTGCCGGCTCCTGGTATAATTGAAAACAAACGTATTACTCGTTCAAAACATAAAGCTAGTGAAGGTGTTGTTGCTCAACCATCTAAAATGCAAAAGCACACTCAAATGCCCTCATCTAAATCTGTTGCTGCTAATAGCCTAACAGCTGGGAATGCGCCTGATAATAATACCGGTTTAATAACTACTCCTGGTGGTAATACTGGTATTTCTGCTTTTTTGCCTTCTTCTTCGGAGACATCGTCTGCTGTGAATCAGCCAGTTCTAATGCGAACGCACACTCACATGCACGCTTCATCTGTGCCGCCTAATGATGCTGTTGGTACTGCTAACAATCTAGTAGTTGATAAGATCACAGAAATGCATTGTGTTTCTGATGCGCCGGGTATTAATGCCGGTTTTTCAATTACACCTGCTAGTAATACCGGTTTGTCTGCTGTTGCTTCTTCTTTTCCTTCGCCTACCACGCCTGTTGACACGTTGCCGGCTGCATTTGCCAACTCATGCTCTTTGCCTGCGCCGCCCGCGTGCGCTCCTGATGCTGCTTCGTCGTATGCCGCTGCTATGGCTCAAGAATGATAGAATACAAGATTGCGCCAATCGAGCTGAGAGCAACTGGCCGTGACGTCAATAAATACCAGAATGAGAGAGCAAAGACGAATTCAATAAGAAAAAGAAGAAGAATCGAACAGCTGGGGCGAAATTGAAATGTTTGTTTACAAAGTGCATAATAAATCGCGGATTTACGGAATTATTTAGTTTTAAATGGTAAATTGGTTGTTTAAAAGTAAAGAATGTATACTTATTAAATGCAATGCAAATCGCTGAAAGTGTTAAATCACTGCAATCATTATAATGATTTGCATTTTGTCAGTAATTGAACAAATACCAGCGGGCAGCCAGCGGGTCAGTTGCTGGTAACAATTTGCAGAACGATTCCACGGTGATCGTTGCATCGTCGTCAATTAGTGAAATCAGTAACCAAGCTTTTAAAATAAAGGAAAACCTCCTACTCCGCTATACAAACGCTGGACCAAGCCTGCAAATTATTGCCAGCAACTGGAACGCTGGCTGCCCACTGGCATTTGTTCAACTACTTAAAAATTCACTTTGTCAACAAACCTTCACACACATCAAGCGGCTCATCTGGATGAAATGAATGAGTTGGAAATGGCGCAGCTTATCATACGCCAGTTGTCGGATAAGGCCAATGTAAACCAAGGCGGCAATCGTATAGAAACCTTGACGTAGACGCAATTTATGTACGAGGAACAGATTAGAGACTTACAAGTAAGTTAGAAGTAGAAGTGCCTTTGAAGATGTTTACATTATTATGTTTACGCATTTCTTACAGTCTATGGTGCAGGAATTTATGATGGTCACAAAATATATTGGCAAAAACATAGCAAGTGCATATGCCAAGTTGGAAAAATTGATAATGCGTGAGTATAAAATGAAAAGGTGTTCTTAATTATAAATATTACTTTACCTTTTCTTTTGCAGTGGCCAAAGAGAAGAGTCTTTTTGATGATCGACCGCAAGAGATTCAAGAATTGACTTACATCATGGTGTATGCGTTACAATCTAAATTAGCCAGCATGGGCACCGACTTCAAACAGTTGTATACTGTCGTACTGTTGTATTTCAGAAACTTTAAACGACTAAAGCTATATATAAGGAATTCGCAAGCTAACATAAAAGTTTTATTATGAAATTTCACACAATTAAAAAATTTTTGGTGGTGATTTATGCAACCTCACAAACGCGTTTTAAACGACGACTTGCAAAGGGCGCTATGTAAAATTTGTTCGATTTTTAGTTTTCGATGGATTACGTACCAGTATTTAAAGTAGTTTCATGTCCAGTAACAACAGAGTGCAAAATCTTTTTATATTCTGAAAAAATAGCATCAAATGTTAAGTCTTCTTCCAAAAGTCGCTATCATACTTATTTATAAACTTTCAAAAGTATCTATCTTCTGATGAACTTAGAGAACTGCTTTAGGTCGTATAGACTGTTAATGTTATCTTATGACATGTTATGTTACGTTACAATTTTATAAGGCTCTTTTTTATCCAAATTTTTAGGTAATAAAAAAGACTAAATTTAAATGCTACTTGTTGTCGTAGTCGTTTTTTCAAATTTATGGCTTTCTATTATAACATCACATAACGCTGTTTGCAAGTGGACTACTCATATGTACATTTCTTATTCGTTATCACGACAGTCAAGAATTGATCTCTTTGTTAATTTTTTGCGGCCCTGAAAAGGGCCTTTTATGTATATATGGTATTGTGTATGTAGACCCAGATAAGCTTATATAAAGCATTTGATCCCTTTGTAAATTCTTTGCGGGCCTGAAAAGGGCTCTTTATGTATACAAACACAGGGAAGCTAATGTTTGCAAAAAATTTGATCACTTTAGCAGTTCGTGGCGGCCCTGAAAAGGGCCTTTTGGTGTATCAAGAGCATTTACCTGTAATTAAATGAATTTATATTGCTATGCAATTAATGAACCATTTCCTTACGGGAGGCATTCTACGCATTCATCTTAGGTATATTTCACTTCTGATCACATGAGTGCACGTACTCCACATGTTGATGTTGACCCTAAAGCTAGCAAGAAAAGAATTTTGGTAATGTTTTTACAATATGTAAATTTATAGCTCACTATGTCATTTTATTTATATAAAAATATAAAATTTATTCACTTACCAGGCCTGCTGCATACCTTGCTTATTTGTTGATGGTACCAAATGCACTTAAGTCAATATTTTTTTATATTTCCTTTTTTTACTGTGGGCATTTTCTATGAGTTCTTTCTTTAGTTTTCTTATTTTAAAGAACATTCTTGCCCTGAAAAATAATTTTTTTACCTTAATATCGCAATGAATATTCGAGGCTTGCTCAATGTGTTTTTTTACAAAGTCGTTTGTAATAAGCAAGCCATCTTCATTCATTGCTTGAAACACTGACTCTAAGTGACGCATTTGGTCCATCATTGCAGAGCTGGGTACTTTCAAGCCACCCTCGCTCAAGTGACTTGCCCATGAAAACGACGGGTCGTCATTGCTCCTGAGCGATGTGCTGGGGATGTCATCCTGGAGTCTGTGACAAATATACCCGGCTAAATGCTCGAGGCCATCATGCTCCAAGTCGCTGAACTCAGCTTCTTCAACCGGCCATAGTTCCGGGCCTTCTTGCAAATTTTGCAGGAATATACCTGATAATAAAATATGTCGTATAATATATAATGATAATATAATAAAATATAATATGTCATATAATATATTTTAATTGGAGAATATAATTTTTGAAGAACCTGTGAGTGGGGGTTGCGTCATTTCCAAGTCCGGCGTATCATCCTCCTCTACATTCGCAGAGTCTGACAAAACGCCTTTGTTGTGGCCAAGCAGATAAAGTCTGACGCGGTACTTAAACTCCTGCTGGTCCGGGTGATCATGCAACCCACCTTTGGATGAATCACACCAAAAAAGTTTTCCAAGACATCTTGGTTGAGGCGATATGTTAGTACATACTT